TCAATATGTTCTAAATTAATTATCATATATTTTTATTTTTATAAATAATTTAAAAAATTTATAAAATGTTTATTTGTACATATAATATTTTTAAAGATTTTATATTTCTTTTATAAATTATATTTATTTTTAAATAACATAATTAATTAATTAATTTTAATTATATTTTTTATAAAATTCATATAGACTAATTGTTTATTAAATTTATAAACTTTAATATTTATATATTATTTGCATTGATATTTTTATATTTTTTTTCTATATTAAAAAAAAAAATCCTTTATTATTGAGTTTTTTTTTTATTTTTATATAATCAGAATATTTAATATATATTTTGTTTTATACTTATACTCTATTTCATTTTTATGTATTTATATATTTTGAATTTCATAACAATACTTTATATTAATAAAGTTCATAATCACCTAATAGATAATTATTCCAATTATAAATAACTACAACCTATTATATATTTATTATTTTCTTCTATAAATATAATAGATTATATAATTTTAGGTTTGTATAAAAATTATTACAAGAATATAGAGCTACTTTTACATTTCTTTATGGATAACTTGGATTTTGTAAAAATAAATATTAGAAATAATTATTTATTAATAATAAATTATATGTTTGCTTATTTTTAGTTTTAAATTCACATCAATTATTTCATTTTTATATTATGCAAGTATATTATAAAATTGACGCGGTTTAATTTATTTAATTTAATTAAAATCTATATTAAAAATAATTTTTATATTTAAAATCATTTATATATTTAGTATTAATTTTATTTTATTATCTTCTTGAAAGTCATTTATTATTTTAATAAGTTTATAATTTATTTTTATTATTAAAATTACAATTATATATTTAATTGAAACTATTGATAATAAAATATAATATAAAATTTTAATAGATGTTTTTAATTAATTAATAATATTTCGATTTGATTTTTCTTTAAAAAAACTAAAAAATAGAATGCTATATATATAAAAAATATGATTTATTTCAATATTTTTTAAAAAAGTAAAATAAAATATAAATTAAATTATGATTTTCTTAATATAATCATCAACAATAAAATAAAATATATTTTTTTAATTTTTACTATAATTATAAAAATATATATCAACGTCTAGCTTATATGATCCTATTTAATATTGAATTATCTTCTGGTTTTTTAAAATCTTAACTATCAATTATATAAGATTAAATAGTTTATCCAAATAAAGTTCTTCTATTTAAAGATTCTATTTTTTTTTTTTTAAAAATAATATTTAATTTTCTAAAAAATAAAATTTTGTGTTTTTTTAATTTTTTTTTATTACAATGTGCTCTTTCGGCTGAATCTTTATTTGTAAATTTAACTTTTCCACAATCATTTTCTTTCTTTTATAATAAATCATTAAAATTTAATTTAATAATATTAAAAAAATAAAATTAACGTTTTATATATATTATTAATATGTTTTTTTTTACATAAGAATCAACTATATATGATTTTTCTTTTTTCAAAAGATCTTATAAAAATGCATTATCAATTTATTTTGGTAAATTATCGATTTGAATATAATAATAATTAGTGGAACTTTTTTATAAATTTAATTTTTTATTAGAAATATTATTATTTTAATTTTATTTCTAAGAATTTTCTTATTAATATTTATAATTATTATTTTATTAATTTTATATTAATTCTTGCTCATAATATTAATTTGTCTCATTATCTAATATTTATTCTTATATTATTGACTTACCGTTTTTAGTTTTTTATATAGTAATTTTTTTTTTTGGAACTTTATTAATTGTTTAAACCTTTTACCATTTTTCAGAATCTGATCCAGTTTTTCTTATTTATTTATTTTTTAAAGGGAATTTATTTGCAATGTTTTTTTTAATTAATTTTCTATTAACAAATCACTTTATAGCTTTGAAGTAGTTTAATTGTTATTTTATTAAGTTTTTTCTAATTCTTTATCTCTTTTAATAAGATTCAATTATTTTGTTAATATTAAATTCATTTTTTTTTAATTTTTTTATTATTTTATTTTTATAAAAAATATATATATATATTTTATTTTTTTTATAAAAAATATATATATATATATATATATATTTTTAAAATAAATAAATTATTTATAATTGTATAAAAACTTAATTAATATCTTAAAAAAAAAAAATTATAATAATTTTAATTAATGTTGATATTTTTTTTCCAATTAATTTTTTTATTTACAAATAAAAATAATTATTAATACTTTTTTTTTTAAAATTTTTTAAAAAAATTTAAATATTAATTTTACTGAAATATATTTTTGATTTAAAGCTCTTTTTTTTATATAAAGTAATTATTTTAAAATGTTATCAAAAATTAAAAATTCTTATTATTCTATTATTAATTAATTTTGTAATAATAATTTAAAATAAAAAAAAATGAATTATTCATAAAATAATAATTTTAACATGACAAATTAAAGTTCTTTTGATTTAGAAGAAGCAAAAGAAACTTTAGAAAGTATATAAATAAAACTATTAATGATAAATTTAAAATACATTTAAAAAAACAAGTTTTATATGATATAAACCAAATTTTAAATTGTGGATTAGATAGATAATAGTTATCAGTTTTAGTAAGTATTTGTGAAAATGGAGTAAATCCAGAAGCATTAGCAGCTGTTGTCAAAGAATTAAGAAAAGAAGCATCAATTTTAAAAGTATTAAATATATATATATATATATATATATATATATATATATATATATATTTTAATTAGACTTAAATGAATTGATTTTTTTATTATTATTATTATATTATAATATATGTACTATAATTTAAAATGATTTTTTAAATCAATAATTTATTTTTTGCATAATTTATATTTTAAAATTTGTATATTGATTTATTTAAATAATATAATACTAAATTGCCTTTCTCTACACATTATTAGTTGATATATTTTTTAATAAAATATTTATAAATGCATAAAATTAGATTAAATTTTTTATAATGAATAATATTTTTTTTTATTTAAAAAATTTTTAATCTTTATTATTATTATTTTATTTTATTTTTAAAAAAAAAATATCTATTATAATTATCACTAAATATAGAAATTAGAATTTGCATAAAATATAATAATCATTTAAATAATTTAATATTAAAATTAATCTGATTATTTTTATTTTTTTTAGTTAGAATTTTTAATTTTATAATACTCTAAAGTATAATTAAAATAAATAAAAAATAATCCTATTTTTTATTTTTATAGTCCTTTTCAAAAGTCATGATCTTTTTTAAGGCTTTTCAAATTCTTCCACTAAATTTTCTTATATAGAATCACATTAATTAATATTAATTTATTTAAAATCTTTTGTTTCGCTATTTATTTTATTCTCATTAAAATCACTTTCAGTTATTAATAATTCTTAACATAATTCATTACACAAATCGACATGTAAAGGTCTAATAAATTAGTATTTAAAAAGAATGTATGGAGCGACAAAAGCACCTGCATATCCAGTCAAATACATACCCATTCCTTGCAAGAAGAATTTCAAATAAACAATATCGTTTACAGGAATTAGATTAAATATTGTTAATATAATTACTATTATAGAAATAATTACTAAAGGTTCGTAAATTTTGGATCTTATAAAAATATATCTTCCAATTATAAATTCCGGAAAAGGATTATATAATGTAAATGTAAGAAACGAAAAAAAAATACAAATAATTGAAAAGTCAATAAAACATTTATGATAGAATTATTCTATTTGTAATGTTTAACTCTAATCTAATTTACATTTATTTATTATTTGAATATTCCAGTTTTACTCTTCTGGGTTATTTTTGTTAATGTGTAATTAATAAATATATATTATTATTGGTATTATAATTGTAAAAAGGAATATTATACTAATAAAAAATAGTATTTGTGCCCTATTTTTTTTATTAATGTTTTATTTTAATAAGTAAGCTAATAAAATAAAGATTCTTTATTCAAAATAATATTTATAGAATATAGTAAATGAAAAACCTAATATAAATCCGAACAAAACCTAATTTAAAGCATGCATCCCCAAATAAATTCTAGAGAAAATTATACATAGATATAGAAATATAAAAAATATTAAAAGAGCGATTTCTCTATTTCTTTTGTTTTAGTGAAATTTGGTAAATTATTTATTTAATAAATATTCGTAAAAAACAAAACCCAATAAAGAATGCCCAGATGGATTTCCATATTCTTAATAACAAAACCATTCTAAATATTAAATATTTTTATTTGGAATCCAAAAAGGTCGAGGTTGTGAATATGCGGTTTTTAAAAAATTACATATATAGGTCAGAATAGTAAAATATAGCATAAAATTTAATATTTCAAGTTTTTAAGTTTTAAATGAAAACATCAATACTAATATTAATATAATAAATATAGGATTTACTAAATTTGTTATTATATTAAGTATATATATTAATAGATTGTTTCTAAAATTAAATTAAAGATTTTATTATGTTTATAATGTGTTTTCAAATGTTTTTTTATTTAAGTAATGGACAAATATAAATAATGATATAAATATTATAAAGGTAATTAATAAAACATAATTTTAGATCTTGGATAATTACTTTTTTTTTATTTTTTTCATTGGGTTGAATAGTTCTTTTTCACTCATTTTTAATTTATTTTTTTAAAGATAAGAATAAAGATTAAAAAAAGATAAATCTAAAAAGATTTGTTATTTTTATAATAAATTATAAAATATATATTGAATATAAAAAATTTTATATAAATAAATATATATATTTATATATATATATAAATATATATGTATATATATATATACATTTATATTTTTTTAATTTTATTATTATGTATTTGTTATATACAAAAATAAAAATAATATATTATTAATTTTATATTTGTACTTTATTTTTTATAATATATTTATTTAAAATATAAAATTTTTTTGATTTTTTTTTTTTCTATTATTTATCATAAATACATACTTCCAAAAGCACTAAATGTTACAATTGAGAAAAATACGCCATAATAAATATTTAAAAATTTACTAATATTTTAATTTAAAACATATCTATTTTTTATATTTTTAAATTTTAAAACTATTTTTTTTATATATACTTTTTTTTATTAGCCATAAATATTAAAATTATTAAATTCAAAAAATTAAAAAGCAAAACGCTTTAAACAATTAGTTTATCGAATTTTTCTGATGTAGTTTTTCCATTAAATAAGGAAAATTGTATATTTTATCTATAATTTTTTTATTTAAATTAATTTGTATTTTTTTAATATTAATACTTTTATGTTTAAAAAACTAAAACTAATCCAAATCCAACCAAACTATTAAAAACTTGACCTGCAAAGCACCCTGAAAGAGCCATTATTCCATATCCCATTTTAGCTAATTAAGGGTTAGTAAAGAAATCTAATTATTATATAAAAAAATTAAAAAATTAATTAATTTTATTAAGAAAATATAAAAAAAAAAATTAAAATATAAATAAATATGTACCTCCTGCTGAGTTTCCAAAAGCTAAAAATGTCATTCCTAAATAGGCTTTATTTATATTTGTAAGTAATTAAATTAACTTTTTATTTTTTTTTTACAAAAATTAAATTATATTTATTTTTATTTATAAACGAAAAAAAAATCACTCCAAGAAAATCAACTAATAATTAAGCTGCAATAGAAATAACAATAATAGAATTAACAAAACCATAAAAAGCAAAATAGAAAACATTAGAAGGGGCAATAGACATATGTGTGAATTTCCAAACAATTATTGAAGATATAACACTAACAAATAAGCATATATATAATAAATAAATTCCAAATATTTCAATAAATTAGCTATTTGTATAAAATAATATGAATAATGGAGAAGTATAACAAAGTAATATTGATTGCCATTTATTCCAATTTTCATCTTCAACCTTGGGAATAATTAAATCTCTGATACAGTTTATTGGAAATTCGTATATAAATAAAATTTTTTACCATAAAGCCATTTCACACCATTACATGTCAAATCTTAAAAGCCTCATTTTTATTTTTGATTTTAATAACATTAAATCGTGGTTTAATTTAAAGCCTAAATATTTTTTTTTTTATCTTTTTGTTTTATTTTATTAATTATTAAATGAAATATATGTTAATTCTTTTTTACGTAAAAGTTTAACTTTGTATCGAGATTGTATTAGTTTCCTGCAATTATGATTACTATTGATTCTTTTTATATTCAATATTATTATTTTGTTATTATAATTTTTTAAAAATAATTTTTTTTAATAATATATTTTAATAAAATTATACTTAATATGCATTATAATCTGCTAGTAAACCATAATTATCCTTTTTATATAATAATTTTACTAGCGATTTAAGGATTATAATAAATAAATTTATATATAAATATAAATATATATATATATATATATATATTATAATATATATATATATTTATATATTTATATATACATACTATTATAAATATATATATACAAAAAAAAATTATACTTCGTTTTACATATATCCATTTTAAAGATATAATTTCAGATTATTACTTAAAAATAATAAAAAAAATGTATAAATATTTATTTTTTATTACGAAACTTTAAAAGATTCATTATAATCTTCATTTATAATTATATCAGAAATTAAATCTTCAGTTTAATTATTATTATTAATAGAAAATTCTAATTATGAATTAGTCATTTCTTTTTCATCAATTAAACTTTATAAGTGTTTTTGTTTATTTTATGTTTTAAATTACCATTCTTAAATTATAACTACAATAATAAATCTAATATCAAAAAAGAAAATTATTTAAAATAATATATATATTTGTACATAACATATATTCCTAAATAACTCAAAGCCATAAGAAAATTCACAAAACCAATAAATGTATATAAAATAATGACAAAAGTCCCAAATGTATAAAATCCAATATCTCTCAAAAAAATCTGTTTTTGACATTAAATTTAATTTGATTAAGAAATAACTCTTGCAACAATAACTGAATTTACAAATAAACCTGCTCCAAATATACTTCCTATTGCTAAGGATATACCTTCTGAATCTCCACTTCCGCCAGCTATAATTGCTGTTAGTACATCAGGTGCTCCATTTCCTAAAGCTAATAAGGTTACTCCAGCTAATGTTTAAGAACATTTTAGAAATTCTGAAATTCTTGTAAGAGATGGGGACAAATATTTTTCTGCAGTTGATTATAAAAGGTGAAATGAAAATAATGAAACTAAAATCTTTTTTTTTTTATTTATTCGAATTTTTTTTTTATAATTTTTTACGGATATAATTAGTAATAATAATATATTTTAATCTAAATAACAATAATATATTTAAATAAATTTTATTAATTCTTCATTATTACAGTTTTATATTACATATTAACATTAGTCTTTTTGTATTTTTATTAATTCTAACTTACATTAATCCATTTTTTTTAAAATAATAATAATAATAATTATATAATAAAATTAATTTTAATTCTATTTTTTATTTTTAAAACGAAAAATATAAAAAATATAAAATTATTTATATAAAAAATACATATATATTTATTTGTATATATATTTGTAATTAAAAATAATACAAAAAACTATATTATTTCTAAATCTCTATATAACAATATTATATTTTATAAAGAAAAACAAATAAATTTTTAATTTTAAAATATAAATTATATAGAATATTTAACAAAATTTTATTTATAATTTTATTATGTTTATATTTTTTAAAATCTTATGTATATATTTATTTAAAAAAAAAAAAAATTAAAAAATATAAATTTAAAATAAAAAACAAAACAAAATATATATAAATTAATCAACTTTAATAATTTTCTAATTTTCCGATTTTACATAATTAACATTTTTCAGTAGGATTCTTAACAATTTATACAGAATAATTACATTTGCATAAAGAGCAAGTCAATATATCAGATTTTTTGAATAGTTTAAAGCTTTGCCAACACAAAATCATATCTTATTTACATTATCCGCATTTTTTAGGACCTTTAAAATCAAATTCAGATTCACAATAAGGACAATTAGTCTTTGTAATGTTATTATTTTAATTTTTTTTCTAAGAATTAACTTGTAGTATATTTTTTAATTATTAAAATAAAGCAATATCTTCTTGATCTGGTTTTCCAGTTTAAATAGACTAATCAAGGGAATTTTTTAATTATTCTGCTAGTAAGAAATTTTCAGCTTCGATTGAGGTTTGGATAGTTTAGAGAATGTATTTTATCCTTATTTTACCTTTAAGTTATTAAATAGAAATTAATATTAGAAAATAATAAAGAGCCTATTTTAATTAATGATTATTTTTTGTATATTAAATTTAATTAAGAAGTTGCGAAGATAAAAAATAGGCAGAAATTTGTTGAATGAATTTTTTATTTTTTTAAATATCAGTTTTATCGAATTTCTAAAAGGCTAAATTAATTATTTATTATACTTTTTGAAACTCATTTTATGAATTCAATGATATTATCTAGTCTAGGAAATCTTATTAATTATTAGCGTCCATTTTCTCTTGTTTTAAAGGACTATCATATTATTAATTTTACTAAGGGAACTCAAATTAATTAAATTTTTATTAAATTTTTTTATCAAAATTAGAAAATTATGTATCTTTTTATTATATATTTTATTATTATTAATATTAATTGAAATTAGAAAAGTCAGTATTTGGATTATTAATGGAATTGTTATTAAAGGAATTATTTTTTGAATTATTATTTGGGATGTTTGTATTAAAAGTATTTGGATTAAATTATGTTGTATTGAAATTGTTTGATGTAAAATTATTTGTATTAAAATTGTTTATACTATTAAATGCATTTGGATTAAAATTTCCAAAATTATCTGAATTATTACCGCTTCCTTTTTATTAATTAATATTATCTGTTTAATTTTTAAAAGTATTAAAATCATTGTCATAATTATTATTTTTTTAAAGTGATGTAAACTGTCCAAAGTTTTATGTGTTTTTTCTTTCTTGACTTATATATGAATTAAAGTCATTAAAATTTTGTTATACTTATTCTTAATATTAATTATTATTATTATTAAAAATATTTTCGTGTTTTTATTCAATTGCTTCTTCATCATTTTTTATATTATCGTCCATAACTAAAGGAGGCATTTAGAAAAAAAATTAATTTTTTGATTATGTTTCTTAATTATTTATTTAAATTTAATCATTGTTTTTTGAAAATTCTTCATTTATTATAGGTGGCATAGCAAAAACAAATTATTATTTACTATTTTATTAATGAGAATCCTATTATTATTATTATTCTTCATTTACAATTTAAGGCATTTAAATAACAAAATTATTTATTTAATTTTAATTATTATTATTCTCTTTATTTTTTTTTATTTTAAAAGCTATTTTTTTCTTTTTTTCATGGACTAATTATAAAGGAATCTTTTACTCGTCTTTAATTTGACTTAAAAGTAATTTTTCCTTTCTAAAACGAAATTCTGTAATTTCACCTATAAATTTTTCAGAACCTAAAATTATATGTTTATTTTTAAGTCCTTCGAAAATCTCGAAATCTAAATCTTCTTCACTCATAAAAAGTTCCTTACAATTTATAAATAAACACATTTTAGACAAATCCTCATATATAATAGATATATGGTTCCATTAATTTTAATTTAAACTTAAATTTTATTAATTATTATTACTTTATGTTTTATTTAAATTATTACTTGTGTTATTGTTTTCCTCATCTTCATCTTTATATACAATTAATTTTACAAGACTACCTTTGATAAATAATTCTGAGTTATAATTATTTATTTTTAATTCTAAAGTACTTTCTTACAATTACTAATTAAAAAATCTCATTAAAGAACCGTTTGGAGTATTTGGTTTTATCCAAAATTCAATTGTAAATTATTTCGTTTATTTTTATTTATTAAACCATTTTTCATTACAAGTTTTAATACATTAAACATTTATTCCATTAAAAACTATACTATATTACTAAGGACATTTTCCTCCCCATTTATCTTTAAAATTAATACACATTTATATATAGATAAATGTAAAAAAATATAAAAAAAATAATAATAATATATATATATATATATATATATATATATATATATATATTTATATATTATAATATAATATAATATTGCTTTTTATAAATACCTTCTATTTCCATAGGATCTCCTATTTCTAATTAATTCCATATATTTTCTATGTTATTAGATATAATTTCTCCATTATTTATTTATTCATAATTGCTTAAATTATCGATATTTTTACCTTTTCCTTCATCGAATCTCCATAGAATAAGAATTTCTTAGTTTTCTTTTTCTTCTTCTTCTTCTATTTAGTCTTGATTTTCGTTGAAATTTTATTCTTGGTCACATTTAATATTTTTTTTTTTTTATTCATTAAACTATGAATGTAATCCTATATAATTATAAATACTATCAAATTATGTTTACTCAATAGTTTGTAAAACAGGCATCTTCATCTTCATCTTCATCTTCTTCATCTTCGTTTTTAGAAAAATATACTTATTTATAAGTAATACTTCCGAATCCAGCCGAGAATTAAGCTAAGTCTTTTTTTTAGACAATATTTTTAATTTTTTTTGCTAATTCAATATCTAATTCTCCTATTTATCGAATAAACTCATTATTTCTTATATTTGTTTATTACTAATTTTAAACACTGGAAATAATGGAAAAGCCAAATTATCTGTTTATTAAAAAGATTCTATAGAATAGTTATTTTAATAGTTTTATTAAGTAATTTGAGATAGAATGTATTTCCAATTTTAATGTAAATTATTTCCAGTTTTTGAATTCAAAAGAACATTAGTTAATTAATTTAATAAATCTTTCTAGTTTAAAATTTTGGCTACAATTGCCATTTTATGATAATTTTATAATAAATAATTTAAATAGTAAGATTTTTCGAATTCTCCTATTAATAAATAATATTAATAAATTTATTTAATTTATTCTTTCTGGCCAACATATCGAGGATCTTATTAAATTTTTTTCATTATTTCTAAAGCATCTATTTCATTTTTAATTTATTTATTTATAAATATACTTTCTATTAAATCTTCTGTTTTTAATAATTGTTCCATTGTTTATACACTTATAATCGTATTGAATTATTTATTATCACTATTATTAGTATATATATAACTTAAATGTTATAAATTAAATTATATGAGTTTTTATATTAATTTCTATGATATTTAATTACTACTTATAATTTCTATTAATGTTTATATAAAAACTGTATTTATTTCTTATTTAAGATATTTCTAATTAGCTAAATAACCTAAAAAAAATATAAAATAAAATAATAAAAATAAATAAATATATATAAATATAATATATATTTATATTTATATTTTATTATATATATTTTTTGATATTTATATCTATTTTTATTTTATTTGTATTAAAATACCACAAATTAATGGTTCTAAAGGACAAAAAGATTTAACTTTGAATTCTGTATGATCTTAACTATTTTTTTCTTAAGATTATTTTTCGAGCCTATAATAATTCTATCCATCATTATAAAACTAATAATTTATTTACTTTCAAAATTATCTAAACTTACACAGGGATTATATGTACCGTCTATACAGGCATAATTTATATGTGTTTTGTTAACAAAAAAAAGAGCGTTTCCAAACCATTTCCCTTAGTTTATTAAATTATTAGAATTTTAAATTTAACATAATTTTAATATTTTTATTTTTTCTAAATTTTAGTTTATAAAATAGATTTTATTTAAACAAATTATTGCCCCTATCTATTTTTTATCATCTTAATTAAGGTTTTACCATTAAATATCAATTATATTGTCATCTAAATCTCCTTTAAAAGTATAGTTTTAATCGTTTAAAATTTACATATTACATAAATGGTTTTCTGGAAGTCTGTTTTTTGAAAATCTTAATATGTTTTCTCCGTAATTTTAATAGATTATACAAAATCCATCTCTTAAAGGTGTGTTGTAAATTTTTTGGATTTTAACATTTAATTAATCCTTGAAAAAGTGAGTGTTTTATTTGTCCAAAAAATGTATTTTCAATTATTCATCTAAGTAATCTTGCTAAAACTCTATTTAAAAAGATTAATTATTGTTCATTAAATAATACACAGGGGGGTTCTAGTATTTTGGATTACCTAAAAATACAGCTTGTGTGCAAAAAAGTTCTACAAAATGCTCTATTTCAGCTTCTTTTTCTCCTTTTAAGTTTATATTAAAGGTTGTTGCTCGAAAATTATTGTCTAATTTATATAATAATAAGAATTTGATTTTGTTAGTATATTCTAAAGATATAGGACGGGTATCTAAACCAAAAAATAAAATATCATCTGAAAGAATAATTTACTTTAAAGTCCCTACAGTCCTTATTAAATTCATTGCAGCTGAAAATAATTTAATATCGAGATTTTCAATATAAAAGTTTTATGATTAGAATAAAATTTCTTTATTTTCTATTTATTTTAAATTAAATTATATATAAATATAAATATAATATATATATAAAAAATATAAATATAAAATTATGTATATTTATATATTTTTATTTATATATATATGTATAATTATTTTTTATTTTTATTTTTTATTTACATGAAGGTATTAATTATTCAAAACTATGTGTATGCTAAGGTGAACATTATGGAAAATCTATTTTATCTGACATTTTATCATATAAATGAATTAATTTTATATTATATTCTATACAATTAATATTTTTCTAATTAAATTATTCTATCATCTTTATATTTTTAAAAGCTATTAAATTACTAAATTAATGTACTTAAAGAAATTTATTAAATCCCATACTAATATTATCTTATATTTGAAACTTTATATAAATAATTTTTTATATATATATATTTGTATTTATATATATTTTATTTATACTTTATAATCTATTTTTTATTAATAAATTATAGAAATTTCATTTATTTTGGCTGAAATTTTATTTTATGAATTTTTAATATTTTTAATTTATTCTAAATCCCCTGTTATTTGAAAATTGAATAATTTTAAAATTCCTTCACCTGTTAAAGCTAGAAAATATGTATTTTTAAAACTAAAAAACCCATTATACAGCATCCATTATAAACTTAAAATTCCGTTTTCTGAAATTCTAATTTTCGCCAAAATTAAATGCTTAGTACCCAAATGTCTAGAATCTAAAATATAGATTTTCCCATGATTTGTTCCTGCCAATAATTTATGTCCATCATTAGAAAACTCTAAGCAAGTATAAAAATATCTATTTTCATTATTATTTTCATTATTATTAGTATTATGATTTTAAACATTATCAGGTTCATTTAAACTCTTCAATTAAGAAAGACTAGTATAATTCCAAATTCTAATAAATCCATCTGAACAGGCTACAACGATTTTTTTTTCGTTTGGCTGGCATTTTAAATCGTTTATAAGAACTTTTTTAGGTAGTTTTAATTTTGAATATTTTTGAAAATTCGCTTATTATATCGCCTCTTGGAAATTAGCACAATATATATTTCTTTAAGTTTTTGAAGAAAAAAATAATAAATCTTAACTTTCGGACAATGTAAATGAATTTATAAAATAATTATTTTTTCCATGTGTTTATGTATATAATAACATCTGTTTTTTAATAGTATCGTAAATTACGATATTAGAAGGGGGATATGTGAGAAATAAATATGAGTTTTTTTTATTATATTATAATATATAACCAGAAGATTCGATTTATGAAACTTTAGGGACTATATATGTGTGGTGGATGCCGTTTGTAAGTGTATCTTCTTGAATTATTGCAAGGTTTTTTTATTATTCGCAGAGAATTAAGTAAAATATTTGCATTTTTTCCGCATGCATGCAAAAAGAAAGGGCTTATTGGGTTTTTATATATTATGTATCCATTTTTTTAATATTACAATTTTTTTTTTATTTATAATTATAGTTATTATATTTTATTTTATTTTTTAAAAAAAATTAATTTTATTATTCTTTAAAAAAATAAATAAATATAAAAAATAATAAAATAAAAATATCTTAAAAAAATTTTAATTAAAATAAAAATGTAAAATCATCAATTATTGAATAATTTCGAAGACATTACTAACTTAGTTAATAATGTATGTTTAAACATGCAATTAGGAGAAACAATATCAACTAAAGAGTTTACTTTTTATGATTCAATGTCTTCTTCTGAAATAGGTGATCCAAAAATGGATATAAAGGTAGGATATAAAGATGTAAAGCATCCTATTTAATTAATAAAAGATGGAGAAATAAAAGCAGCGGAAAATCTTACAAATCATGAGGCAATATAATAATAAAAAAAATATATATTTATATAAATAAAAATATATATTGATGTATATAAAAATATATAATTATTTTTAATTAAAAAATTAATTATATGTAAATATATTTATATATTTATAGTTAATTCATTTGATTGATTATTTATTAGCATTAGAGTTTACTTGGTTAAAAGGATATTCTTTATCCTAAACACTTTATTAATTTGTGTATATATTCTTTTGATATTAAAATAATATATTATTATTAATTTTTTTTTTTTTTAAGTTATTTTTATGATGAAAATTCTTATAAAAATAATTTAATTTTGAAATCTTATATCGAATGCTTATATTTAAATGGAATCATGATGTTTGAAACAGTCAGATATTCACCTTTTTTAAAAGAAGATGATTATACAATTACAGTTTTTAGTTTTCCTGAATAAAAAGGTATTTAATATTTTTTTTATTTTTATTTACATAAAATAAATAATAAATTAATAATTAAATTTTAGATGAACAAACGATATTAAATCAAATTAGTGAAGCTGAAAATTTAATAGGAGATAAAATAACAAATCCAAATTGTAAAAAAAATAAAAATAAAAAATTCTATATAATTATATAGTAAGAAAGAAGAAAAAAAACATAAATCTAAATGAATATGATGCCATAGATTCTCGTTTAAAATTCCGTAAGTCTTTTTTAAAATTATCATCTTTATTATCAAATTCTAATTATACTTAATAAATACATGAATAAATAACAAGTTAAATAAACAGTTTAAAAAAACGAATATATGAAATAAAAGAAACATCTAGTTTGTATAAAAATACTTAATAAGAGTTAAATTTAGAGAATTATTTTTCCAAAAATATGATAAAAACTATTAATTGCTTAGTCTCGCCAAGACCCTATCTTGAAATGAAAATTGAAGATGGATTTTCTATGATTGAGAGCTTTTTGGAAAGTTTGGAATATATTTTAAGTCTTGCAAAAGAATAGAACTTTTATGCAATTCTTGAAAAAATTATTGAGTTTAAAAATTTACCTAAAAATATCTTTGCAAAAACATATTTAGATTGTAATATTTTCTATTCAACAGGAAAATATTTTTCTATATATGATATGGGAGATATGGTTAAAGTAGTTTTTTTTTTATATTTTTAGATTAATATTCTTATATATATTATTTCTTTAAATCAAAAAAGAATATATTTAAAGATTTTGGATTGTCTGACAGCACTCTAAATTCCTAAAGCTTTTTAGAATATTCTTATTAATGTTAGATTGTTTGTTAAAATTATATAACTAAATACCTTTCTAATTAATATAGATAATATAGAGATTATTGTAAAATTTACTAAGAATTAAGTATTTTAATAAGTTAGAGTGTAATTTTTTGTTATTTTTATTTAATAATTTTTTAATTGTTAATAATAATAAAAATAAATAAAGGATAAATACGAAAAAGAATTTCTTATAAAAAAAGATGAAGCTTAAACTGCTACTACATGGAGTTATAATTTGGCTTGTAGAATGATGGCTTAACATTTACATTTAGGTTTTTAACTTGAATTATTTGATTTAGCTGATTATTGTTAGATATTTTTTATATTAGAGTTTGTTTATAGAATTTTAGAAATAAACACATAAAGTTTAATGTTAATTAAATTTGATAAATAATTTATTTTAGGTATTTTTTTATTTTTTTATTTTTTTGTTAATAAAAAAAATAGCTTTTTAAACTAAATAAAACCTTGATTAAGCTAAAAAAAAATTAAAACCTTTTTAAAAATAATGGTTTTATTATTATATATTTTATAAAGGATTATAATTGTATGCTAAAGCTAATAGTCATATTTGCTTTTTATTAGAAAAATATTCACTTATTCCTTAATTTAATGATCCAGAAACTTTAAAAAATAGATTTGCGAATAGATTTAAAATATTTGAAAATGCATTTTTTTTGAAAATGCCCACTTATTAATAATATTAAGAAAAGGTTAGTGAAGGTTTTTCTAAAGAAAAAGTATTTATTTTTAGTTAAATAAAAATAATATTATTATAATTCAAAAAAGCTTGATTAATATTGTGAAGAAATTAAATAAACTTTAAGTTAAGCTTAATAATTATTTTAATAAATTCCTGAAAATGAAGAAGTAGTGCCCTTAGGAATTAGAAATGATGCCAAAAAATTAATAAAAGTAATTTTTTTTAATTTTTTTTTTTTTAATTTTTTATATTTAAAGGTATGTATATTAAGTAGTCTATCTGCCATGAAAATAAAACTTAAAAAAAATGATTTATAAAAATTAAAAGGAAGCTTTAGTAGTAAAGAGCATATATATTATCCTTATCCGGAAATTTTATGAGATGTTTTTTTTTTTTTATAAAAAAAAAAATAAAAAAATAAAAAAATAAAAATTTAATTATAAAAATGTAAATTAATTAAATATAATTTTTAACAAAATATAATTTTATATATAAAAAATATATTTAAATTAGATTATATATATATATATATATATATTAATATTTAGGATAAAATAATTATAAAAAAATTAAAAATAAGTAAAATATAAATAATTAAATATTAAAAAAAAAAAACTTAATTTTTTTATTAAAAAAAAAATGAAATAAATTTATTTTTAATAAATAAAAAATAATCATTAATTTGTCCATTCAACTTTTTACTTTTAATATTTTTTGGGGGAGAATTATTCATGTTATTCGATAGATAGACCGTTTTATAAGTTTAAAAATTATATTGAATTCGTATTGCTTTTGAAATAAGTTTAGTTCGATATATTATCAAATTATTATTAAGATTGTAAGCTTTTTATATTTTAAGAAAAATAATAATTAGGATTTTTTTATTTTTAGAAAATAATTTATTATATTTATTCTTCAATTTACGAAAACTTCTCTTCATTTTTTTATTAATTTTCTTAAAAATATTATTCAATTTTATTCACTAGTAAATTTTAATTTTAACTATTTTTTAATGATTGAATTTAATCTTAAAAAAAAATATTTTCTTTATTATTATTACTAATATTTTATTCTTTAATTTGTGATAATTATTATTATTATTATTATTATTATTATTATTATTATTATTATTATTATTATAATATTTATATTTCTTATTTAATTTTTTTAATTTTCATTTATATTTTTTTATTTTATAAATATTATAATAAATTTATTTATTATTATGAAATAGTTTCTTTTTCTATTCTACTTTAGTCATATTCTTCTTCTATTTAATTTTTTATTATTTCTTCTTCATTTTCTTCCATAAATTCATTATAATTATTACTAAAGATAGGATTTATAATTTCTGTTTTTGAATATATTTTATTTTATTTTTTAAAATTTATATTTTATTCCTATATTTCTGTTTCATAATCAATTTAAATAAGTTAATTACTTAAAGGATTTATATCAATTAATTGATTTAATTTATATTATTTAACTTTTTTTTAATTATCATTTTTTTCATTATCATTTATATAATTTTATTTTTTAAAATATTTTTAATTTTAAATTTCTGTATTTGAATGTAAGTTATCTAATTTTTCATGAAATATTTCTTTATTTTATTAATTTTATATTTCTTGTAATTATGGTTTTATTTATTTAAATTATTTTTTTACTTAGAAATTATTTATTATATCATTATTTTTAATTTGATAATTTTTAATTTCTTTCAAAGGTTTTTAAAAATTTTTGAAAATCGATTACATATATTTATTATTTTTTTCTTTTTATATATAATAAATAATTAAATTAAAAATATTAAAAATACATAAGCAATTAAAAGATTTAGAATTATTCAAATGAAATAATATCTTAGTTTCTAAAGGTATACTTGTATAAGACTTTCCATATAGATCATTTTACTATTAATTAAGCTATTTTTTATTTTATTTATTTAAGTTACAAATATTAAAATATAGAATTTAAATTTTTTCATTTTAATTATAATTTAAAAATTTTTAACATAATTATTATCCAATATAAAATATTTCTTAAAATTATTTATTATATTCATTTTTTTTTATAAATGAGATATTAAAATAGATGATTTTAAATAATTAAAATAGCTAATCAATAATATTTATAGTCTTTAGCAAAATTCAAATTCATTAATAGAACTTTCAATATTTTAAAATATCTTTTATTTAAAAAATATACAAATAAATATATATATAATAATATATATATATATAAAAATAATTATGATAAATATTAATTATGTTGATATAAATATAAGTATTTATATATATATATATATATTTATATATTTATTACTGATTATTATAATTATGAATATGCATAATAAGAAATAAATTAACAGTTTTAATTTTTATTTAATTATAAATATATAGAGGATATATTATTTAAAATAATACATTTTTGAATTTGAAATAAATTCAAATTCTTGTTTATTTAAATTTATTTATGTTAATTATTTTTAAAATTAAACTAAAAGAATTATTTTAAGCAATCTTTCAATATTTTTTTAGCTATCATTATATTTCCTTTTCTTTTTTTTTTAAAAAAAATAAAAATTATAATATATATAATAATAACTTAGTACAATTTATAGCTATATTATTGAATGTATTTAATAATAATTATTCTTGATAAAAAAAATATGGAATTTCTTTTAATATTCTAAGTGAACATTCTAATAAATTTAATGTTAATTCATATTTATTTGATTCTAATTTTTTTAAAAAAAGTTTATTTGTGTTTATAATTTACATATTATTAAGTTAAAGGAAATATTATTTATTTGTATTGAAAATTATTTGACAAGTAAAGGCTCTAGACTTTATATTTAAATATTTTCAAGTACTTTTGTAATTAGTTTATTATATATAATTTAAGTTTCATTTTTTTAAAATTCCTATTTTTTTTTTAAAAAAAAAATCCTTAAACTAAAAACAAAGAATTATAATTTATCAAAAACTTGTTTTTTAAATTAAATTATTTAATTAATAATATTAATTAATGGTAAGGTTTATTCATTCTGTAAATTATTTATAGTTTATTTTGGGGATTAATAAATCAATTTTCTTTATTTGTTTATTATTGAAACTTTATTCATTTTTTTTTTTATTAAATATTATTTTAATTTTAATTTTTATTTTATTTTAGATTATTTAATTAATTTAAAAAATAAAATATTTTAATTTTTTGATGTTTTAAGAAATATTATTTTTTAAAACTAAATAAATAATTTTAAAAAAAATGTTTCACTTTTTACTATTATTATTATATATAATAAATATAAAAAATAGTTTATTTTTATTAAAAAAATAAAATATATAAAATAATAATTTATAATTTAATAAATCATTTATATTTTTGTTATTTAAAATAATAATAATATACAAAATAACTTTTAATTTTTGTATTTTTTCAATATATAGGCATTTTAGTTTTGATTTTTTTTTCCTTTTTTTATATTTTAATATTTTATTAACTATTTTTTTTAACACTTTATTTCCTTCCATCTAACATAATTAAACCTTCACTTTTAATTTATTTTTCATTTGTTTTTAATTTTCCTAATTTAATATTGATTTAATTAAATTCTTTTTATAATTTTTCATAATATTAGCTTTCATTACTTATATTAGATTATTTCTTTTATTTTATTTTTTTTGGTTTTTTTTTTTTTTTACATTATTTTCATTTTTTATATCTGATTTTTTATCAAAACTTAATCTATTTTTTTATTCAATACTTATATTATTATGTATATTCATTCCATCTATTAAACCTTCTTAATAATCATAATCCATAAAAATTTAATCTGCTTTTTCATATAAGTATTGATTTTTCCTTAAATTATTTTCTAATGTATAATCAGCTTTTACCTTATCTAAATCTATTATTTAATCTATTGGTTTTTCTAATTAAACTCTATTTTTTTATTAATTTATATTTATATATAGAATTACCCAAACAATTTTTGGATTTTTTTATAATTTCTTTCATCTCTTATATCTTATATAATTTTTTCTAATTCTTATTATTCATTTTAATTTTATTTAATCTCTTCTAATTATTCTATATAATTTTAATCATGTTTATTTAAATTTTTCTCTATTTCTTCAATTTCTTTTCCTAAAAGTTTATCCATTAACTTAATTTTTTTCGTCATTTAAAATTAATTTTTTTGTTCATTTTATATAAAAAATAAAAAATACCTGTTTTGATTTTTCTTTTTAGACTTAAAGCAAGACTTTTTTTATTTATTTTTTTAAATAAAATATATTTTTATATTATTGAATTAAAATACCTTTATATTTGTTTTTTTCTAAAAAATACTCCTTTTTTTTTCATATTCTTCTTCTTATTTTTCTTTTTCTTTAACTTTTTCATTTTCAATATCACAAGCATGTTAAGGATTTATAGCTTGTTTAGGTATTTAATTTTAAAACTAACTTTCGGTTCTAAAAATTATAAATTATCATAATAAAAAAAAAGTAATTACATTGATTATTATTCATTAAATTTAAAATTTTAATAATTTAAATTTTCTTAATTTGATTCTTAAGTAATAACTGAAATATTTTTATCGATTTATTATTCATTTTATTTAATTACTTGTATTTATTGAGTAGAGCTTTTAAATTCTTCATTTGAAACTTTATATAATTTAATCTAGTTATTATTATTATTTTCGAATTTAATAAACTAAGGAACTGTTTTTTCTAATAAATTTTGCTTTTACAGACTATTTTTTCTAGTAATATTTATTTTACTTTATTTTAATAAACTTAAAGGTAAATTATTATTTTGTTTCAATAGTGTGTTTTTAAAATTTTCATTATTCATATTTCTATTATTATTAAAATCTCCATTTAAAATATTCATTAATATTTATAATATTTCAGGAGGAGGAGGCGGTGGAGGAGGTAAGAAGCCATCATTTTATAACTGAGGTAAATTTAAAGTATTTTATCGGATGTTTGTCATTTGGAAATCTATAGGTTAACTATAAAATGTTTAGTATTAATCTAAATTATTGTTTTGAAATTTGTTTGTCCCGTTTAATTAAAGAATTTTATTATCATATTATTAATATGTGGGGGGAGGGTAATATGGACTTTACTATATTGATTAATTTTAATTTGGATCTACTAATGTTATTATTTTGGGCTTTTTTTAGTACAATAAGTCGATTTTATTTGGTTTAGATGACATTTTTTTATTTTAATTATATACGGAAATTTTCGTTTATTTGTATGTATTTTTTTTTTAATTACATTAAATTAAATGATATTTTTTTTAAATATATATATATTTTTATTTTTTTAATAAAAATATAAAGGATGATTTTAAAAAATAA